CCGCGACAAGCGCGCCCAAAACACGCCCCGGCGGTGGCGCGCGGCGGCAGCGGCGCATGGCAGCGGTGGCGGCGGCAACCTTCGGCCTGGGCCGGTAAGTCCAGGGCCCGGGGCCTTAACCGGCCCCCGGGCCGTAGGTTGCCGGTCCCTGATCTAGATACTATACTTCTATTAATGCAGCCTAAAATCTCATTGGCCTTTTTAGCTGCCGCATCACACTGTTGACTCATGTTCACCTTGTGGTCTACTAGGACTCCTATATTCCTTTCACAGGTAGTCTTGTTAAGCCAGGGTTTTTTTTATTTTATATCTGTGCATTTTATATCTATGCATTTCATAATTTTTTGCCCTAAGACCTTACATTTCTCCATGATGAAATTCATTTTGTTAGCTTTGGCCCAGCTTTATTAAGGTCATTTTGAATTTTCGTCCTGTCTTCTCGGGTATTAGCTATTCCTCCTAATTTGGTGTCATCTGCAAATTTGAGAAGCATGCCCCCTATTCTTTCATCCAAATCATTAATAAAGATGTTGAATAGCACTGGGCCCAGAACAGAACCTTGTGGCACCCCACTGGTCACTTCTCTCCAGGTTGAAAAGGAGACATTGCTGAGCAGCCTTTGGGTTCTGTCAGTCAACCAGTTACTAATCCACCAAACAGTTGTTTGGTCTAGCCCATATTTTACTATCTTGTTTGCAAGAATATCGTGGGGGACCTTGTCAAGCGCCTTACTGAAATCAAGATATGCTATGTCTACCACATTCCCTTCATCTAGCAAGCTGGTAATTTTATCAAAAAAAGAGATCAGACTCTCTGTTCAATGAACTGTTCTAAATGTTCACAGACTCTCTGTTTAATGAACTGTTCTAGAATCTTTCCCAGTATTGATGTCAAACTGGGCGATAGTTGTTGGGATCCTCTTTTTCCCCCTTTCTGAAGATGGGGACAATGTTTGCCCTCCTCCAGTCTTCTGGGACTTCTCCTGTTCTCCAGGAGTTCTCAATGATTATTGACAGTGGCTCTGATATTACATTTCCCAGTTCTTTTAGTACCCTTGGATGTAGTTCATCTGGCTCTGGAGACTTATGGCCTGAACAGACTGCCAGCTTGAGACCACTTTAACTGTCCTCAATGCTAGGGAATCATGGGAATTGTAGTTTTTTTCTGAGACACTGAGTCTTCTCTGTCAGAGAGCTCTGGTGCCAGAATAAACTACAGTTCCTATGATTCCCTAGCAATGAGCCAGGGCAGTTAAAGTGGTTCCAAGCTGGATTATTTCTGGTAGTCTGTTCAGGCCCTTCAATTCATTTAGGTTAACCAGGTATTCCTGTACCACTTCTTTACTTATTCAGTGCTGTATTTTTCCTATTGTGTCCTCTACTCTATTTTCCTCTTGTTCAGCACACTTTTCCTTTTGTGAGAAGACTGAGGCAAAGAAGGTGTTGAGTAGTTTTGCCTTTTCTCTGTCCTCAGTTAGAATTTCTCCATCTTCTCTGTGCATTGGCCCTACCATTTCCTTCTTCTTTCCTTTGCTACGGACATACCCCAAAAATCCCTTTTTGTTATTCTTAACCCCTCTAGCAAGCCTCAGCTCATTCTGTGCTTTGGCTTTCCTGACTTTACCCCTGCATGTGCTAGCTACATTTTTGAATTCATCTTTAGTGATTTTTGCCCCTTTCTTATAAATCTCCCGTTTAAAAATTAGTTCAGTTGAAAGTTCTTTTGTCATCCAACCCAGTTTCTAAAGACACCTCCCATTTTTCCTCCTCACTGGAACAGTTTGAGATTGTGCCTTCAGTATCTCCCTTTTGAGAAACTTCCATTCATTCTGAATTCCCTTCTCCTTTAGTATTCCTGACCATGGGATCACTCTCAG